AGAGAGAGTTGGACAAACACCTGTCAGGGATGGTGTAGATCAGAGGCGGGCAAACTTTTTGGCCTGAGGGCTGCATAGGGTTTTGAAATTGTATGGAGGGCCGGTTAGGGCAGTCTTTGCCTCCCCAAACAGCCAGGCATGGTCTGCCCCTGACCCCCCCCCCCCCCCACTTCTCACCCCGACGGCCCCACTGGGACTTCTGCCCCATCCAATCCCCCCGTTCCTTGATGGCCCCCTGGGGACCCCTGCCCTATCCACCCCTCCACTCTTGGTCCCCTGGACCCCCCCCGTTGCCCCATCCAATCCCTCCCCTTCCTGACTGCCCCCCCTGGAACCCCTGCCCCATCCAACCACCCCTTCTCCCTGTCCCCTGACCACCCCTGACTGCCCACACCGGGACCCCTGCCCCCATTCAACCCACCGTTCCCTGACCCCCACCCCAAACTCCCCTGCTCTCTATCCAACCCCGCCCTGCTCCCCGCCCCCTTACCACTCTGCCTGGAGCACTGGTGGCTGGCAGCGCAGCCGTACCAGGACAGGCAGCTATGCCACATACCACAGCGGGTCAGGCCAGCCTCTGCAGCCCTGCTGCCCAGAGCATAGCTGCAGGGGTGGGGGGACAGCTTTCTGGGCCAGGAGCTCAGGGGCTGGGCCGGGCAGGACGGTCCCGCGGGCCGTAGGTTGCCCACCTCTGGTCTAGATAATACTTGAGTGCAAGGGACTGGACTAGATGACCTCTTGAGGTCCCTTCCAATTCTATGATTATACCATAAGAAGTTTGCTCATGTCCTTAGTATCTCTTCCTTTTGTGAATGTTTTGACATCCCTTTTGGGCTCATTGAATCAATTTTGGTTCTCATTTTACATCCTTTCTTTGTAATTAGAACTTGCAAATGATTCTGGCGCACAAGAAGCAGAATTCCTACCCTTAATGGTGGTAGAGAATAGAATTTCATTTACAAAATATTAATAGGCTTTTAATTTGGCGTGTAAAGCCTTTTAATACATGTACAGCTCGAGGAGAATTGCTGAAAACTCCTGGGCTCTAGAACAATTGAAGCAGCGTTAGCCCCACTTGACAGGAAGGAGAGGTTAGCTAGTTACTCTTCCGGCTGTCGTGAGAAGGCTTTTGTGTGAGAAGACTGTTTCTTTGCAGCAAGAACCTTGGACTGCCCAGTGAGAGGAGGCTTTGTAGTTCCCACTAGAGACCAGCATTCTGGTGCCTTGATTTGGGGCAAATTAAATAATGTGGTTTTTAAAGATTTTCTTTAACCATGACTGGTTCTCCACACACCTAGCTACATGGACAAATGTCTGCTGGGAATAGAATTAAGACAATCAAATCCAGTTCTACTGAATCACTATCCGATTTGTTAGTCTCTAAGGTGCCACAAGTCCTCCTTTTCTTTTTGCGGATACAGACTAACACGGCTGCTACTCTGAAACCTATCGGATGGTGGTAACTTTAGGGTAATCGCCACCTGGATTAGATTTAACTGTCTAACTTTTTTTGGGGGGGAAGAGCTGTCACAACAAATTGCCCTTCTTGTTCCCCCATGTTGAGCCATTTGCAATGAAATGAGTTTATCTGTCTGGCTTGGTGAGTCACCTGGAACTGCCACAGCCTCATGGAAGAACTTGTGATGTTTTGATGTGTTTTCAAAGTCAAATCCTCTTGCTGCTCTGTAATTCACAGAGAAGGGAATGATTATCTTCCTGAACTCTTCTGCCAAAGTGCTCTTCAACTTGCCAGCCTTGTGATGGAGGAGGCGAGGCGGGTAGCAGTGGCTGTGAGACTTGGTAGTAAAGTGGTGCTTTTTTTAAAAGGGAAGCGGGGTGGGGAATGAAGATGAAGAATGAATAATGGCAAACTGAAAATCACTCGTGGAAAATTTTTTCTCCTTTTGTTTTATTAGTGTATTTTAACCTGTCCCGAGCATGGAAGCCTCTCTGCTTGGGACACCACTTAGCTAATAAAACACTTCATGTTAGAATGTTGATGATGATTAGATACTCCTGAGGGACATTGTGCCAAAAATAATAATAAAAATAAATCTGCGCACAGTACTTTAAAATTCTGCAAATGTTATTTGTCATAATCATGCCAGTTTCAATTATTTTAGTAATTTATTTCCAAATACCTGTCAGCAAGTATGTGTGTCTGTAACAGTACAGACACACACAAATTCCCCCAGGAGTAGAGAGTTAAAGAAACCTCTATGGCAACCCAGTTCCTGTTTCTCTGCCCCCTTCCCCCCCCCCCCGAGCCCAGTTGGGGGGCCAGATAACCTCTCCCCCCCCCCCGAGGCCACCTGTGGGCCCCCCCAGCCAATACACCTGAACCCCCTCCTCTCCAAAGCCCAACCATGAGGACCCCTAGCCCAGATACTTACACCCATTCCCTCATGCTCCCAGAGTCCAAGGATCTAGAAGGAGAAATAGCTTGATGCTCGGTCCCAGGCTTGGACTGATTTTCCTGCACACCGTCCTCTTTCCCTCAGGGCATGCTGGGAACTGCAGCTGCCAGGAACCCTCTTGCTCCCTCTCCCTTCCCCCAGCAGTGTCTTCTATGTGCCAGCTGGGCTCTGCCGAGTCCAGTCGCGGTTAGTAGCACTGCGGCCTATTTCTGTGGGGGAAAGGAAATTCTGCATGCACGTTAATTTTGGCAAAATTGTGCAGTGGCACAGAATTCCCCCAGGAATAATTTAGAGAGGAAAGAGGGTGTAGTTGTTAGGGTGCTGACCTACAACTTGGGAGACCTAGTTCATTTTCTGGTCCATCACAGGCAACTTACTTAGTGTTTGTGCCTCTTTTATCCATACCTCAGAGGTGTTGGGAGAATAAAATAATTAGACTAAGGCATTCTGATAGTAGAATAATGGGGGGCTATATAAATGCCATAGTTCATTTGTCACAGTTTTGATTTGAAGGCTTGAGAGACTTTCAACATTTGTCTCAAACTTAGCTCCCTGTAGAATTTTTTAGGAAGAATTCTGCTTCTTGTGCCCCAGAATTGTTTACAAGTTCTAATTACAGGGCCAGTTTCACTTAGGGAAACCCTCTGAAGGTAGTGAATTGCACAGGGGATTCTAAATTCTGAGCCAGATGCACTTGCTTTATTATATCAAGTAGCTCTCAGCTTCCCTGAGTTGATCTGATGGTGGTACTGTGACAGAGTAGGGTGCTGCAATCTGCCATCAGAAGTAAGCACAGTAACTTCCACAGTGGTATTAAACATCTAATATTTATCTGGAAAATTTAAATTGCAGTACAATCCTAAAATAGGAAGAGAGAACCTTTGCCTAATTCGTAACTAGCACTGGTCAGAACATTTATCAGATTTTGGCAAACAAATAACTTTGACAGGTTTGATATTTTTCTACCGGCTCTACCCACAGTTTCTTTACTTGCTGCAAACCTGAATGCCGGGTTAGGTCAGTGATGCAGGGAAATGGAGCGTACAAACTCTGCCTGAGACCTTGGGATGGATTTTGTCAGTAAAAGCTAAAGAGAAGTTACATGCTTGGGGCAGATCTACGTTACAAACTTGCATCAGGTAGCTGCAGCGCTTATGGTGAAGGCTGTCTAAGCCAACGGGAGACAGCTCTCCCATTAGCTTAACTCCACCTCCACAAAAGGCGGTAGGTATGTCAATTGAAGAAGCTCTTCTGCTGACCTAGCGTTGTCTACACGGGGCAGATGGGGTTTAAGGTCAGTATAACTGTTACTCAGGGTGTGTGTTTTCACCTCCCTGAGCAACGTAGTTACACTGAGGTAAATGTGTAGTGTAGACCTGGCGTTGGTCTCTTTTGTTTTCTTGTCTGAGTAAGGCCTGTTCCTTTGAATAGGGACATGTGGAATAAGGACATGGAATAAGAACAAGGAATAAGCTTTCCTGTGGATGAGGCTGGAGCTCACAGACAAAATAAACCAGATAACCTTTCCTCTGTCTCAGTCTATTTACCTGGCGCAAAAGGCTCCAAGGGTGTTACAAACTAGTGTAAAGAAATTGAATTGTATGAAGAACTCTTCCTGTTACCCCTTTAACTTAAGCTTCTTTTGATCAAAGGGCACTGGAATATACATTCACTTGGACTTTCTCTGTGGTTTCATCTGTGGCTTTCTACGCTAATTGCCGATTAGTCTTTCAGCTGTGAGGATGGAAACTACTGTCTGTGGGACTGAAGCACTCTAATCAAATTGTCCTGTCAACTTGTTTGCCTGTCTCATTCTCATTGCCCTATACAATATCAATTTTAAAAAAACAACTTGCTTTTTTTAAAATAGCAGGTGACTGTCAGAAAACCTAACCAGCGTTTTGACTCCAAAACACATCATCACTTCTACTTTACTGGACATGAATCAAATTGTCCTGTGCAATTTTATTGAAGGATGCCTTTGTTCCTGTTTCCCAATTCAGGCAATACCTAGTTGTCACTCAAATTCATAATCACACAATCTTAAGTTTTACCTTATTATAGGAAGTGAAGGTTAAACATATGCTTGGTCTTCATCTCCCTCAGATTTGTGTACTAACTTGGCTGGAATGCACACGAGGACTTGGCAGTGCCCTGTGACACACCCATATGTTTCCACGGGAAATGGACTCAGGACCCCAAATCTCCTTTAAGTTATACATTTGCTAGTTTCCTAAGTCTTTATAGTACAGTCCTGACCAGTGTTCAAATGAAGGGTTATTGTCTGGACCTATTCTTTTTAAAAATAATAGGGCTTTGAACAGTGTTTTCCTGAAACTCTGGACATAACTGTAAATTTAATACAATTTACTCAAAAGCACAACCTGATCAAAGACACTAACACAGAATTTGAATTGAAATTGTCCTCGGGTACAAGCAAAATTCTTTAATTAATCGAAAATTAGGGTCTACATTCTTTGAAAAGAAAGAATTATTAGATAATTATTGCCTCTGTTTTATTTCTGTTCATATTTTTAAGTGTGGTGGTTACATTCTCATCCCCTTCCTGTGTGCATCATGCAGGTATTTTGATGGCAACCTGGAGAAGCTTTTTGCTGAGTGTCATGTAATTAACCCAAGTAAAAAGTCTCGAACACGTCAGATGAACACAAGGTCATCAGCCCAGGACATGCCGTGTCAGATCTGCTATCTGAACTACCCCAACTCGGTGAGTACCTGGCAGCTCAAGGCACAGGGCAATTGTTTATAGCTCAGTGAAGTCTCTCTTCTTAAACTGAAGAATTGCCTTTAGTCAGAGTGAAAACTTAATTGCATGTTTTATGGGCAAATTGATTACTTTAAATATGTTACCACTTAAAACCTGTGTAAGCACTGAGAAATAGGAAAGCTGCTCCAAACAAAAAATTGCCTTTTCAAAGGGACATTGAAGTCACTAGAGCAGGGTTTCTCAACTTCATTGCACCGCGACCCCCTTCTGACAACAAAAATTACTTTGAGACCCTAGGAAGGGGGACCGAAGCCTGAGGCGTGCCCTCCTCCCCCTGACCCTAGGGGGTGCAGAAGCTTGAGAGCTTCAGCCCTGGATGGTGGGGCTTGGACTTTGGCTTCATTCTCAAGCCCCAGCAAATTTAACAGCCCTGGCAACCCCATTAAAACAAGGTTGTGACCCACTTTGGGGTCCCAACCCACAGTTTGAGAACCACTGCACTAGGGGTTGAAACTTCTAATCTGTTGTAGGCCCCAGTATCCTATAGCAGCACATTAAATCCAATTGATATGGCAGGGACTATGGAATTATGTAATCCTCCTCCCCCCTTTCTCCCCAGGAATCTTCTACTTTTAATTCCTGCTCTTCAGTTCAGTACAGAATGTTTAAAACCCAATTTCTTTCCTCTTAATCACTTTTTTTTAAAATAAACCCAAATTCAAAATTAACTATTTCAGGTTTTGTTTACAATGAAAATTAACCATAGTTTCTTGTCATCTTGCTGAAATCAGTTTCAAATCAGTTTGCGATTTTGGATCTCATGTACAAGCACAAGGATGCAGTGTAGCGTTTGGAACGCTGCAGAGGAATAACTTGTGTAATAAGCTGTTTCTAATGAATTTTTTTAAAGTGAACACTACTTTTCAGGTTTCAAGTTTGCAAACTGTGATAGGACCATATTTGTGGGGGATGACTGTTCTTGAGAATTAAAGATTTCAGACTATAGGATATAATTTTCTCTTAATTCTGCTGTGCTACTCCATATGACTAAATCTAGGTTTTTCCTACCAGTGGATGGTAACAAAGATTAGTTATTTCTAATTAAGGCCTAATATTTGCAATGTGAACATGAATTGAGGATGGGATGGTAATTCATCAGAAGCAAAAACGGGTACAAGCACGTCTTCAAACTTCAAAGTTTTGCAAATGCCAGTTCTGATTATTTTATGCAGATACAGTAGAACGGTGTGGGCAAACTATGGCCTGCTGGCCAGATTTAGCCCATCAGGGCTTTGGATCCGGTCCGTGGGATTGCCACCCCTGTGGCACCGCGGAGCTAAGGCAGTCTCCCTGCCCCTGCACCGACCACATCCCTGTGGAGCAGGGGGCAGAGGGCTCTGTGCACTGCCCTCGCCTGCTGGCACCGCCCCCCGGAGCTCCCATTGGCTGGGAATGGGGAACTGCAGCCCCACAGATGAGGACAGTGTGCAGAGCCCTCTGCCCCCTCCCTTCCCCGCCCCCAGGGGCCGCAGGGACTGGCACGCTTCCGGGAGCGGCACGGGGCCAGGGCAGGCAGGGAGCCTGCCTGAGTGCGCTATTGCCACCCTGGAGCCGCTCAAGACAAGCGGCGCTGGGCCAGAGCCCACACCCCAAACCTGTGCTCTGAGCCCCCTGCTGCACCCCTCCTGCACCCCAACCCTGTGTCCTGAGCCCTCTTGTACACCCCACATCCCTCCTGCACCCCGAGCCCTTGCCCTGAGCCCCTTCCCACACTCCCTCCCACACCCCAACCCCCTGCCCCAGCCCTACATTCGTGGCCTTGCATGCAATCTCCCCACCCAGATGTGGCCCCCAGGCCAAAAATCTTGCCCACCCCTGCAGTAGAACCTCAAAGATATGAGCCCCAGAGTTAGTGGTGAACCAGACACCCTGTGGAACGGTAAGCCCTCAATCAGGCAGCAGCGCAAACCAAAAAAAAGCAAAGGCTCAGTGCTTCAGCCATGGGGGGTTGGGGCTGCAGCCGCCCCGGGGAATGTGGGGGGGCGTAGTTAGGGCTCTGAGGGAAAGGGCTTGGGGCTTCTGACCCTTGGGAGCACCGGCGCTTAGGGCTTTAGACAGGAGGTGGGAATGCTGGCTCATTCTTTCCTCCTTCTCCTCCCCCCACCCCAGCTGGGAACAGAGCTGGGGGGCTGAAGCCCTGAGCCTCTGGTGTCCCCCCAAAAGACAGAGCAGGGCTGAAGCCCTGTGCTCCCCCTAGCTCTAAAGCACTGAGCCCTGGTGATCCTGTGGGGCAGAACCCCCCCCCCCCCCGGTGCAGCTGAAGTCTAACCTCTTCTTCAGAGTTATGGAACATTTCAGAGTTAGACATCCTCTATTCCTGAGGTGTCTGGAACTCTTAAGTTCTACTGTATAGCTAAAATATAGTCACTTTGAGATGCACTATTTAAATTTGTGATGCACTAAATCTCTTCATATATAAGTGATTGATTTCAGGTAAGATTGTGGGAGAACATTTGAGCAACGAAAGCAAGGTGTTAAGTAACAAAGCCTGATTAAAGGTTGCACTAAAAACCATTGTCATGTATCCAGAGTTAAGCTTGTTACATTCCAGCTGCATATTGACAATTGCGGTATTTGCAGATAGATTAAGTATGGTACACTTTAAGGGGTGGTGTCAGGTTGTGGGCAGCAATGCAGTAAAGCCATTCAGTAAAGCACAGACCAAACCATTAGATCAGATTATTTTTTTAAAAGGTCACATATACAATGAGCCATGCAAAGAAATGTCATGAGTCTAAAAATCAGTGTTCTTAAACAAAAAAAAACAACCCCACTAGAGGAGAAGCCGATGGATATAACTAAAATAGGGCATGATGGAACTCTTTTAAAAAAGAGTACATAACAGGATAAAACTGAAATGGGGAGTCTAGGGAAAATAAAAAGTCTGGAAAATAAAATTATACAGTCTTCTGCAGTGACTAAAACTAGCAGATGTGGAATTATCTAATTCTCTACACTATATGCACAGTGGGTCTGTGTTCGTGGGATAGCTAGGTGGAATGGTTCTCTAGTGGCTGTAGTTCAGCCTCCTGAGAAGTTGTGGCAGTTTGCTTTCCCCAGTGTAAGCTATCTGTATCAAGGTTTCAGGGCTGCTGTGTGCTGTGCAGAAAAACAATATGACAATTTCCATCCCAGAAAGCTGACCGTTTAGGTGTTGTAATGCTACAGATGGACAGAACTAACAGGGAGAGGGAGGATAAGATGGGAAGAAAAATATAAGTCTCTGAAACACAGAAGTCTCAGCTTGTCTGTGGCTTTGCCAGCAATCAACATCCATCAGGAACTTGGTTTTCTTTATTTGAACTTAGTTACATATGAAGTGGGAATGAACTTCAAAAATAAATGGCACTCTGGTTTGATCTTTTTTGAAAGCACAAAACCTTTATATAAGCAACACATGAGAGCTTTCCATTTTTATACTGAGTGTCTTTATTAGCCTACCTTTCAGGTCTCCATTTTGCACTTTGGTTTTATGAGCTGCCTTGACAAAGAGTACTGTTTTGTTGACTGGCATGGCTGCAAGACTTTCCCCAGTGAAGAATGAGCAGTGCGAGCTGTGTGTGGAAGGAAGAGCAATGTACAGATTCCACCACCTGCGAGAATCTCAGCATTGTGCTGCACTGGAGGAATTTACCATTGGGTACTCTAGCCAGTAAGGAATAAAACATTGTCTCCAGAAATGCAAATAAATGGTTGAGGAAATATAGACTTGCCCATTCCTCTTCATTTTTGTATCTTCAGAGCCTTCTGCACTCCCTCTTCACCTTTAAAGGTGAACTGCAAGGGAGAAAAGTGTGTGGATCCGCTTTGTTGTATAAAGATATTTTAAAAATCTGGGAGTAGAAATTCATACTTTTTCATTAGAAATTCATGTCTAGTCTACCTTGGAAAAGTCTGGGGACTGAAGAGTTGGTAGGGTTATGACATTGAAGTATTGAGAAAATGAAGCCTGGCTAAGAGCGAAATGATTTTGATTCAGACTATTAAACTTCCTAACTTAAATAACTGAGAGAGGACATCTTTACTTACTTTTAAATATCTGTGTTCATTTGAGAGTTCCAGCAAGTCTAGCAAAGCCAGGGACAGCCAAACTTAACATTCCTAATACAAAAAGAAAAGGAGTACTTGTGGCACCTTAGAGACTAACCAATTTATTTGAGCATGAGCTTTCGTGAGCTACAGCTCACTTCATCAGATGTATACCGTGGAAACTGCAGCAGACTTTATATACACACAGAGAATATGAAACAATACCTCCTCCCACCCCACTGTCCTGCTGGTAATAGCTTATCTAAAGTGATCATCAGGTTGGGCCATTTCCAGCACAAATCCAGGTTCTCACCCTCCACCCCCCCCACACAAATTCACTCTCCTGCTGGTGCTAGCCCAGGATGGATGGGCTAGCACCAGCAGGAGAGTGAATTTGTGTGGGGGGGTGGAGGGTGAGAGAACCTGGATTTGTGCTGGAAATGGCCCACCTGTTGATCACTTTAGATAAGCTATTACCAGCAGGACAGTGGGGTGGGAGGAGGTATTGTTTCATATTCTCTGTGTGTATATAAAGTCTGCTGCAGTTTCCACAGTATACATCTGATGAAGTGAGCTGTAGCTCACGAAAGCTCATGCTCAAATAAATTGGTTAGTCTCTAAGGTGCCACAAGTACTCCTTTTCTTTTTGCGAATACAGACTAACACGGCTGTTCCTCTGATTCCTAATACAGAGTTCTAAGAAAGCAAAGAAGCCACCTTAAACAAACTGAGTACCTTTTATCTATCATGATGAAACAGAAAGGGCACATGTCTAATCTCCCCTTCCCCCCTTTACAGGTCACCTTACTTCTTAGAGCGCACGCACGCATGCGCACCCCCCCCTTCCCACCCCTCCCAAAATAAAATAACACTTTCCAGGGTTCCACATTGAAAGTGGAGCATAGTAAATT